TAATAACCTTAGAACCTTAGAAATTTTGTAAAAAGTAAGACTATAACTAAATAAGCATTCACATTTAAACATTTTTTATTTTTCTTTAAATAAAAAATTATTATTATTTAAATATGAAAACCTTCAAAGTAATTCGTTAAAGTTACAGTATTACTACAGAACTTCTGTCTCTCATTGAGGCACCATTGATATTATCTAAAGTATAGGCTTGGCCACTTCAGCGTGCTAACCTATGCCCAAAGTCAACGTTCAAAGAATGTCGAGAAGAGATACTCAATATGCGCTGATGATTCATCATTTGGACTGTTTTCTATTTGGATGTAGCATTTTTGGGCAGTAGAAAACGAAAGGTTAGTGTGTAGAACTTAGAGACTTCACGAAAATGTCCGAGACATACCAGAACACCCGCTATTTATAGCTGCTCGAGAAAAATATAGCTAATATTTGGTGGTTCGTTTTTTTCCAGCGGTACAGCGGAACTCATAATATATTTTGGTAAGGGGTTTGTTTCTGACCAAAACTAATCTCTCTATTATTATTATGGTTTGCGGTTTAACCTGTGAGTCGACTTCAATTTAAAATTGAAAATGCTGCTGAGTTGTTGATGAGACACATTATTAAGTGTGAATTAATTATTTGTTTTGGGGAGGAGAAAACACATTACTTATAATTCCTTCATCTGCTTGGGAAATTAGTCATTAATTAATGGTGTTCATTATCTACTATATTTTTTAATTAAAAGCTTAAATTATTAACGTATTGTTTTTCTTTAAAAATATAATTAAATGACAAAATCTGTATACTTTCAAAAATAGTCCTTACTCTCCGTATCAAATAAACACGACACAGAGTATTCCTTATTTTATGCACTTTAAGAGCCTTCCTTGTCGATTCAGGAAATAGTATTAAAAAATTTATTAATATGTGTCCGTCTATATTGCTTTTGCCTGCATGCTTTGGTCGGTAAAACAATGTTCTCATTTTCCAGAAATATTTGTTCATCAGATTTATTTTCTATCTGCTAAATGCACTCCTTAGTGGTAAAACTGTACCATATACCGTAATTATTACCGACTTGTACAATGTTCTTCCTCAACATATCAGAGACTTACCACAGTCTAAATTGTCCAGAGAAATTAGACTGTTTCTTCTGGAGCATGCTTTTTACTCAATTACAGAATACACCCTTTCGGCCAAACACGAATTTTAGATCAACATATGTTTTATTATCTACCTATCGATATTTACGATTTCTGTTAAATTTTAGATTCTATCGTTTTTACATTTTATAATTTATGTATTGTACTTTTGTAGTGTATATCTATTGTATATTTTGTCATATTGCTTTCACGCATGGATTGATTCTATTTTTCTATCTTAAGACTCTGTTTATACGATTTATTTATCCACAACCACAAGTTGTCAGCGTTAATCTTTCTTTTTTCTTTTGTACTACTGACGCGCCATTGGTTGTAAAGACTTTTTATGTAAAAAATGGCTAAATAAATCTATATATATCTATTATTTTAAAATATTTTTTGGCTTCAATCGTAATTGGACACTCCATATTTATTCGCTTTGGATTGAAACCAAGCGCTCATAGTGTTATCCACGGCGTTAGTTTCATCGTAAAAGTCATGGACTAAATGTTGGAACTTCCTTTCAAGTATTGGAAAATGCCATTTCTTTTATCGTGTTAACTTAGAACGACATTTTTGTAAACGGATTTCAAATCCCCCCTTACCCCAGCACTCCGAAAAACTGTTATTTCAGGATTATAAAATTCTTTCTTATCTCGAAAAAAAATCGGTAGGCATCCACCAATTGTCGGCAATTTTGCAATTTTCTACATACGGAGCACCGTTTCCAAGACTGATTTATCCACAAGAACTTCTTTAAACTAACTCTTTCGAAGGTTTAGTGCTATCTAAAATAAGTATTTGATATTTTCGGTAATTGTGTAACTCGTACACAAGTTGTGAAACCTCCTTATCCAGCAATTTCGATTTTAATATCTATTTGTTCACAATTTTTCCATTTCGAGGCCCAAAAGTTTTTCGATATTCATGTTAAACTAAAAATTAGGAAAGAGTCACACACAGTCGAATTGTTGCCCCTAAACCAACGCGATTAGCCGGCAAATTATGGCAATCACGTTACTAGCAAGCGTCTCGATTAAACTATTAATTTCCAGGTGTAATTGCAGAAAATGTGTATATCAATCTTGTTCGATTTGAGGCAAAGCTTTTCCCAAACTAATCGTTCTCCGGTCCCAATTGATTCGTAGGTCGTATTCTGTTTACTGTTATAAACAAGGTGTCCTGCTAAACCAAGTCTTTTATCTTTTTCATTTTTTCCACTTTTACTGTTATAATAAAAGAATGTTTCTTTCTAGTCTTTGACTAGTCGAGCTATCTCTGCCCTAATTAACAGTCTCTTTTCTATTGGTCTATATACTCATAATTTTTGAGGCAAAGCTTTTACCAAACTAATCGTTCTCTCGTCCTAATTGATTCGTAGGTTGTTGTCTGTTTACTGTTATAAACAAGGTGTCTTGCTAAACCGAGTCTTTTATCTTTTTCATTTTTTCCACTTTTACTGTTATAAAAAAAGAATGGTTCTTTCCAGCCTTTGACTTAGTCGAGCTTTCTATGGCCTAATTAACAGTCTCTATTCTATTGGTCTATATACTCATAATTTTTGAGGCAAAGCTTTTACCAAACTAATCGTTCTCTCGTCCTAATTGATTCGTAGGTTGTTTTCTGTTTACTGTTATGAACAAGGTGTCTTGCTAAACCGAGTCTTTTATCTTTTTCATTTTTTCCACTTTTACTGTAATAAAAAAAGAATGGTTCTTTCTAGTCTTTGACTAGTCGAGCTTTCTCTGCCCTAATTAACAGTCTCTATTCTATTGGTCTATATACTCATAATTTTTGTGTTCAAACTGCATATATATAGTGGCTAATTAATATGTGTCCTTCTTCAAAGAATTGAATTAATCGTTTTACGTTAGTCATTGATTAACTGAAAATAGCTTAATTATTTTTAATTCGATTAGCTTTTTTTGTCGTTTAATTTTCAAGAATTAACAAAAAATATTCGTTTTAACTTCAATTGTCGAAAACTTTTGTTATTTTTAATCTAATGACACTTTTTTTGTATTTTATTTAAATTTTTTGTACATGTAATATAATTTAGTTTTTAAACGTTTATATATTTGACATTATTTTAAAAATGTATAGTATTAGTAATATTAAAGTTAATAATATATTTTCTAAAAAGTTGTAGTAAGGCTAGAGAATTTTTACAAAGTTTTTTATAATTTTAAAATAAATTTATATTGCAATATAAAAGGTCCATAACTTAATCTATTAATTTGCAACATCTTGTTCTAAAAGGTGGCCTGGAAAATCATGTCACCAATTTTTTTCTATTCCCTCATTTTATGTAAAAGATAAATCAACACAGTTAATTTTTTTTGCAGTCTACTGGGAAAGAGTCTCATTTGCTGTACTCGTTTTGCAATAAAACAAACGGCATTGTCGTATTAAAGCCAAATTTAATGTCGGCGCTTTTATAATAGGAAAATGTAATTACAGTTTACAAGCGTTAATTAATTAATCACTCTTAATGGAGAAAAACAGTACACACGGATAGGGTATAAAATGTCAATGGTCAAAACGTAAATTATTGTTGTTATTTATCCCGACGGAAGCCCGAAATACCTCGAAATTGTTAGAACTTTCAACCAAATTAATAAAACGCCTTACCTCCAATATTTTATCGAATCCTTCACAATTTTCTAAACGAAGCCCATCGAGAAACAGCAGCACGTATAACGTACTAATTAAATACTTACGATTTAACTTATATAAAAATAAATATTGTTGAAATGGCAGCATAATGACATTTTACTTATTTTTCTTTCAATCTCCTGACCGCATGGACGGCATCAAATTAAATTTTTCCTGGGTATTCGGTTATAATCGCTTTAGCTTCGTTATTCGAAAAGTGATTATTACTTTCTTATTTTTAATTAATTAGTTTTTATGCAATTTAATCTAATTTTGTGTACATATCCTCTGAGTTTATCCTGTTCAACAGTAATTAAAACCTTTTTCTTGGGTTTTGGAATAGACATGAATAGATTTAAAATTACAAAAACATAATTAATATCAATAATATACAAAATATTATAATTTGCATATAATTAATATGCAATATCTTGTCCCAAAAGGTGTTCCATGAAGCAAATTAAGTTTAAACTAGTTTATTTACTACATATTTGCCTATTTACGTTTCCAACCTCCTCTAAAAATTATAAGAAGATTGAGTTAAGGCAATGAAAATATTTGTCCAATTTTCAGAACATGTCATAATGATAGCGAAATTTCGCTGAGCGGCTATTAAAACTTTTTTATCTCTAGCTCAATAACCATCACATTTCTTATACTTATCCGTTTCGTTTCTTTCAATTTGGAAATTGTTCTAAGCTTAGATACTAAAAAATAGTCTTTTCATATATTTTTTTAAAACTCAAACACAATTTTAAAACAGGCGAATAAGTTAAACATTTATTAATCTAAATGAAATTTAATGTATTGTAAAAACAAATTGAGGAAAATATGTTATTTCCATTGACTGACCAAGTAAATGTTCCACTCAATGAGAATATAAACATAATTAACGAGTAGGCAAATATTGTATGACGTTGATTTGTTTTGTTTCGTAAACATTTTCCTTTTCGCCTGTTTTTGTAAAACAATTGTTTTTATTCGCCGTTCATTAATTAACTTCGAATTAAGAGCTTAATGCTTTTTTTTGGTTGTGCCGTTTTTCGTTGGCGCCGCGAGCTATGTTGATATTCCTAATACGACTCTATGTGGTATAGCGCGATACTGCATGCTTTTTAAAGAACGGTAAAAAGCAGAACACTTTCGCAAAACCTAATATACATTAACAAAACTAAACACACATGCTGGAACATCTAAAAAGCCTACCCCCAAGGAATTTGCGTTGCTGGACCGGTTGTAATTTAACTAACGCCTTCGCGAGAAGCTAAACGGGAACTTCCGTCGGTCGAAAGCTAACGTAAAGAAGTTGCGCGTAAAGTTGCGAAGTCCAAAAGCCGGGAGTTCGAAATAGAGAGTTTCGGCGCGAGCACTAAGCATGCACTGTGCCGAAATATAGTCGAACGCGTGCCGCTGCTTTTAAAGACGTACGCTGTTGCCGGTGCTGTTTAAAATAATAAAAATCCATTAACTTCCTTCCGGTTTTTTTTTCTAATAATTCCCGTTTCGGTAAAGGTTGTGATATCCGGCGATTCAGTCGGTCCCGGTATAAGCGGCGCATTCGGTAGGACGGTCTCGCGTTTGATACTATTTTTTCTATCATCGAAAGATGTTTTTCATAGAGTTAAATGTCAACTTATGAGTTTGGTTTCACTCACGGCCACCCCCGGATAAGCCGTGCCCTTTGATTTTTCTTAGTTTCGATATTTAGTTCGGGGGATGGCGGCAACGGGGTAAGACAGCGATCGCCGCTGAATTCGTACGTCGGGCATGTGGGAGAGGCGCCTTTAACGCTCCGCCCCCGAATACTGAAACAATTGCGAGGAAGAGCGAAGTAACTGTTGCTTTAGCAAAACTACCCCAGCGGCGCCGGGGGCGCGTTAGCTTGGCCCCTCTCTTCGCTCACGGAAATCTGCACAGGAATGCAATTTCATCAAGGCATACAGCGCCGTTCTATTCTGAGTCTAGATCACAGGGTTCGGCCATACGGAAAACAAAGTTATAAGTCTCGGTTACAGTTTCATTACACTGG